ACGGGCGGTCCGCAACGGCACGTCCTCGTGGTTTGGCTATACGTCCAAAGTAGGCGGGCGGGCGAGGTGGGGTCGGATGTTGCTGCTCAATAGGGCGCTATAAGGGTACCCTCCTTGGAAAAGGCGCTACGCAGCGCCTGTTCAGGGTCACGGAATTCTGTCATGCCAGTCGTATTAATCCTACTCGTCTTCAGGGATTTATCGTGCCAACTGCCTTTAAGCAATTGTCCTTGTTTCAGGTTTGGGACAAAGGACTTTCGCAAATGGCTTGTGAAGTGACAGACAAACAAGAAGACCCTGAGGGATATCATATAATCAGAACGGAAAAGTTTGTGTCTCCTCTCTTATACGTTTATCTGATGTGTTTTCTAGGGCATAGCTGTGTTCATTAAGGCAATGGGCGAACGCGAAATTTCCAATGAGGAACGTCAAAATGAGGGAAACCCTCAAAGAAGGCGCTCTAGAAAGGCGTACTCCGAGGGCAATGGTAAGTGATGGGAAACACCTTTCTAGAATCCCAATTTTCCACAAGACGCATTTGAAAGCTATTCTCTCTCATGAGTTTCCTTCCTAAACCGTGCTTTTCTTTTTTTCCACTGTTGAATGGTGTATAGCTGTGGATGACTCGAAAAAAAGACGATAAGTGAGCCAGAGGCTGCATATATAGTTCTGCGGACATGAAAAGAGCAGGTCCAGACAAGAGGTTCAGCGGTACAGTGAGGCTGCCAAACGGTACTCGGGTGCTCTTAATAATTCTGTTGACTGTTTTCTTCCTTGGAGAGCGACTACAGTAATTCTTCTCAGTAATTGCCCGTTCGAGGAAAAAAACTGAAGAAATCATATACAAAGCCCCATATAAGGCCTTATTTCTAGCGAGAGACTGTGATTCGGCGGGATTTTTCGCGAGAAACCAGATAAGAGCAGCGAGTGAGAGAGCATGCAGAAGAGCAAGGTGACAGGTACGGCAGCTAACAAATGGGACATATTTACTTGAGCAACCTGCGTCAACATCCCTGCTTACAACTTTTTGACCTGAACAATTCATTGCAGAAAACTTCGATTCCTATATGTCATCGCGCAATGTGTCTCCAAAGTAGTCAGGACTTTGATTATACTTAATGGTTCTATTCAGATAAGAGGACTTCCTGAAGGCACGAAGTTTGGATGCCACCTGACGGACTGGGGACTTCTCATGAAAATTGTCTGCCTCTACGAGAAGAACCAGTGAAATATCCTATGAATTTACACGGCCAGTAAAGAACTTCTGCATATGCTTTCTTAAGCAGACATCCATGAGTTACCAATTCCAAGCATAAAATGACAAACTCCCATCATGCATATAGAGACAGCAGCAGATATTGAACACTCACCAAATTAAATGAGAGCATTTTTTCGAAAAGGTTATAATTATATGTCCACGAAGTCAGGGCGTACACATGCCACCGAAAATTGCGCATGAAACTAAATCTGTCCGCCGTGAACGTACCCAATCGTGCGCTCTGAGAATGAATCACAAGCTTGGGTAGAGCTCGCGGGATACAGTATCCAGGGTTAGTATCAGAGCTACGCGAGGCGGCACCTAATGGTACTTAGGTGGCACATTTCTGGGGCTCGCGGGTGGGTGTCAGGAGAGCGGTACTGGTGCCGCTCACACTCCCTAGCCCCACCCGCGAAGCTCCCACCCCCGCCGATTGTGTGCGTTCACTGCGCAACACATTTAATTTCACGTGCAATTTTTGGCGGTACTGTATATACACTGACTTCATGAACTTACAATTTTGTGAGAAGACTAATGGATCTTGGCCTACGAGTCCTGCTTTCTCTAGCTTGTATACGGTTTCGTCGTAGTGGCTCTACACACTAGAGACCCCCGGGAAAACGGCCACCGCAGTCAGTGAAATAGTACAAAACTTTCATTCATCAAACTAATCCGAAATAACTGCAAATATTAATAAGTCGACATTATCTCGTAAGTCCGTTGGTGACTAAACAGTACAACTCAAACTCTGGTTCGCTGCCAATGATATGGCGTGTCCGCGGTCGCGCTTGGCGCTGAGCCAACCTGTTTTTTCTCGACAAGCGACAGGACTACCATATCGTTCATATCAGACGTTTTCCAGCAGTTGGTCTCCTTTATCGGAGTCAGCGATTGGCGGAGCACGAATCTGGCAGCGTTGACAGGGACATGTTCCATTATACGCAACGGAAAACACTGTAAACAAGTGCACAGGCTCGCCATGGACCTCCCTGAACCTTATAGACACATTTGCTCGCCGTTGAAACAGTACATTTACGCACAGGTTGCACCATTCCACTCCACCTTCTGTCGGCCCTCAGTGCGCGGCGCATCCGAAGTTGGCGTGATCGGCGCTAAACGAACATATCCTGCTCCTGCTCCACCACAGGATACGTTCTACATGCGTTCCTGGCTATTCGAACACGCTCACTTGAAACGGTACACAGGAAAACGGGTTTTTTTCGCGCAGCTGGAGTGTTCTCAAGAATCCCATAGCGAGATCTCCGATTGGATCCGAGAAGCTTCAAAACAGTTCAAGAGGTTTTTAGAAAGAGAAAATCTTCAAACACTCGAAACCATTCTCAGATTTGTGAAATGTTGAGTTACAAAAAAAATATATTGATTCAAACCTGTTCCGGTTGAAACCACTCCCAACGAATCCCTATGGCAGATTTCTCTGTGATTTTTGCGACGTTCATAAACGTTTTAGTACTTTTAGGAAGTGCAAACCTTCCTCTACACGAGTACGGTCTCCTCTTCCCCACAGGTCCGCTTTTGAGGAAGTTATGGTCCTTCAAAGACACCCTACTTTGCTGAAAATTCTCGCTCCATGGCTAAAATTGCCGAATGATCTGCGGTCACATCTGCAATTACATGCGTATTCTGCTACCGTACTCCACATAATCGGGGTAATGCATTTTTACGGCGGTTTGTATAACTGTTACGTAAGTTGCAGACAAGCCTAACTTTCTCTTTTCCTCGTCCTCAATCTTGGGAATAGACGTTGTTAACACTGTGGTCGCTGATGGCCGCTCCCAGAGAGGGAGTCCACCTCAGGATAACGAATGCTCATTGAATTCAATCGCGATACATCGTTATTATTAGTGTGTTTATTTTATTATGGTTTTTATTATATTATGGTTTTTATTATTATTATGATTATACATCGTTATTATTAGTGTGTTTAGTGTTTTTATCAGTGTATTGTGTTTCAAAACGGCCATCGAAGAAGTTCATCATACGAGTTTCTCATAATACGATTGTACCGTTTTTTGTTTGCAATCATCTCTGTATTGTTCTATTATGTCATGACTTCAAGTCGTCCATTTAGTAAGGGGCACCTTCATTCAAGTAAATTTCATAGTGGGCGTTTCATAGTTTCATTTAAGGCGAAAAAAAAACGAAACGCCAAAAAAAAAGGGCGGGGGGTCGGAACCCCCAAAAGGGCGCGGCTGTCCAGGCTCGAAAAATCCCATCGAATGCTGTGCCCTGATGCGGCGCCCATTCTAATTCCATGGAGTCGTAGTGGCTTACTGAATGCAATGTGGCCTATACAATGACTTGCGGGGGCGACCGATGTACAGTGTTCTTATCCATCCTGACGGATCTACTACCAATAGACCGTTCCCGGAGGGTAAAGGGCTTTCCTGGCCTGGGCGGGAGTAGGCTCGGGATCTGAACCAAAATCGCGCGAGTAGTAAGCGCGCCGCTTGTCTCTACGCCACTTCCACGTCATTTGGGAATATCTTACGAGAAATGCTTTTAACTCCAGTACTAATGCGGTCAAATACTGTAGCCATGCCCTCTCCATCATCAGGATGTGGAGTTGAACAGCTCTTACGGACAAACCTCTTTAGAACACTGAAGCAGCTGCAACACCCGTGATAGTTGGATCAATGGGCGGAATGTCATGACTCGATGTTGCAATCCTCGTTCTTTGAAGCTGCCTTTGCAGTTTCGAGAAGCGAGCGTGGCAGCGTTGAGGCATGGGATCTCCGCCCTTATACCATCTGTCCCGGGCTTCGAAGCTGCTCTAGTATCCTGACTAGGGAAGGTCGCCAGGTCGAAGTGGCCATTTGTAATGAGATGTAGCTCACTAGACGTGGTTTTGGACGCTGATCTCGAATCTGCCTTTGAAATTTGCAGAACGATTCTCTGAACGGAGTTATGGAGCTTTTTTCACCGCGTTTACCACGCAACAGGTCATGGGATCGGATCCCTGCTGAGCTTAACTTTTTTGCTTCTTGCGCAAACGTGGCAAAAAGTGGTTGTAGCGTCACTACTACATTAGCGCTCTCCTAAACTTGCCTGAAAAACAGTTTGCGTTCGCTTACTGGCGCGCTTGGTGCCTTGTGATCTAGGAGAATTTTTGGATGTACAGGTGCCCTTGGCGCAGTGCAGGCGTTTTCGCGCAGAGCGAGTGCCATCCTCGTGTTTATCGGGGTGAACCGCGCCTAGGTAGAGGTTTCTAGGCAAATCTGGCATTTTCCTGATTTCGGAAAGTGAAGCATCCATGTGTTAGTTCAGTCGATCACACCTATTCAGCTGCAGATACATTCTCCTGCACAAAGCCTCGTCTTGCCACTTCTTACGCATTCATGTTGTTACTGCTCCAGTTTTCCTGGTATCTAAAAGCAAATTCCGTCCAAAGACAAGCAATCGACAAGAGACTGGCCCGGAACTATTGGTGACCATCATTCGATCAACTGCTACCGCACTTTTCAGTTAGGTCAAAACCTCACATCTGGCTAGAAACCTGTCCCCAAGGGTAGTTTTGCTCCCTGAACACGAATATGGCACCCATTTGGCGTTTGAGTGTTTTCTAGAACTTAAAGAGACATTCCTCACGAAATTAAAAAAAAACCTCTCAACAGTCTGAATACCCCATGGGACGCCCACGAAGCGAGACTGTTTCCACTACACCATGCCGCCGCTTGGTGTGGAGATGCTCCCCGGCTATTCATGCAAATTGGCTGGCAACCGCGCTCGTTTTCCTTCGTTTTAATTCTAACAAACCTTCATAATTCCTTTCAAAGAATCGTTCTGCAAATTTCGAAGGCAGATTTGAAATCAGCGTTCAAAAACACGTCCCGTGATATACGTCTCTTATAATGGCGCATTACCCTTGGCGACCATCCCTAGCGAATTGTGTTTGAGGAAATCACGTAATGTGTTTGGCTTCGATCAATTTGTAGGATGAAGCTCCTCTGAATTGTTCAACACGTGGATTCAAGGCAAATGTGAAGGAAAAAAGGTAAATACTGTTCAATGGATCCTATTGAAAAGATGATTGCATAAATCTATAGGATAAGTCGTCTCTCCCAATAAAAGGGACGGAGAGCGACAGAAAATTGTGACAATCAGAATGTTCCTCGCCCTAGCGGTTCTGTCCATTCTCTTCGTGAACATCAGCGCACAAAGTAAGTGCGGTTTTAAACTTTCACTCAACACCATCCCCTTAACTGATCTCTTGCTTAAGTCCACTGAAATTCCTTTACATTTTCCTTACAAAATGTCATCTTTTTAGCATGTACTCCCGACCTCATGTCGCGTTTCTATCTCACAAACCTCTTAATGCTAACCTGGTTAGTTGCTTTATCAAGCTCACTTGAGTGCTTCTAACAGTCTAAATATACGTTGAAACCTTGGCGTATGCGATAAAGGGTTTCACGAATGCTGGGTGCCTTATACGGCGCAGTTCGACTTGGTGGGAGCACCTAAAAATACTCAGCGAAGTGCGTGCTAGCCAGAAGATATTATAAATCTCATTAATCAAAGTGGCTCACTTGTACCACTTTGCTGCTACGCAAGAGTTCACACGTCTCAACAGTAAGACCTGTGGTTACATGATCTATTAGGTTGTCCGGAAAGTTCTTTAGCGTTTTGGGTGTTTAACTTTAAACGATCATAACTTTCTTAACACTCATCGGATTTAATCCAAATAAGCACCATTCGAATCAGCACACTTTTGCCAATGTGGCAGCAGTCGAGAAATCCCATCAAAGAAAAAAACTGGGTTGGTCCGACGAATCGCAGCGAAATCTGCGACGGGTTTTTGCCTGGTCTAATTTATGACAGTATTTTCAGCGAAGGAAGTATTCTAGACTCGGCTCTCACACGCTCGCAACAGCCCCCTGGTCTGCGCTGAAAGGTCCTCGAAGAACAGGCCCGTGCCGGAGTTGTGGTAGAACTAACCCAATTCGTTCAATTTA